ACTATAATTAAGCAAGTAAGTTATTGAATAAAATTTAAATGATAATTTGGAATTTATTTGGAATTAACAAAAAAACAAGCAATAGTTTGATCTTTCCTACTGTAAGATTCACGGCAACCCCTTCTTATTAGTTAATTTATATCTGAATTCCTGGTTCCTGAATTGATAGCGTTTGCGTGTTCATCGGTTGTGCGCTTACACATATTGCGTGACAATTGCGTGGGGTCACAAACCAAGAGGTACATGTAGGACACATTTTGAACGTTCCAAATGTGCAGAGTCGCAGTGCACCGAACATCAATGTTTCCAACCCGCAACGTAAAAATTCCTCTGCAATAAAACTGCCATCATCTTTCAACTAACTCGTACCATCCTCTGAAAATTTGCACACTATTCTGCCTAAGCAAGAATAACGAGCATGCAAATTATCTTTGGCTATAGCATAATATTTTCATATTTTTTGTCACAGTCATATTTACTCTGTGAAACACAAACGTACATTGTATCATCTCTATTTTAGTCCATTTTCTCTGAAAAATCATCTTCTTAAACTGGAAATCCATGTTTCTCAGCTGTCTTAAATAATTCTACTAGCTGCCCTCGTTCATACCCACCCACACTCACTCCGCTATTTTTAAAAACTGTTTCAAATATGCCACTGTCTTCTTTCTGGTTGCATATCTACTGGTGTTCTTTTGACTTTTTATATTTAGTCTAGTTCGAACGCAGTCTGAAACAGGGACTTATGGCTTGACCTCTGTGCATCCATGCATTCATGTGTGTGTGCATGTGTGTGTGCATGTGTGTGTGCGTGCATGCATGCGTCCAGACCAATTACATTCATACTTCACACATACATCATACATAATATTATACATATGCACATCAATTTGTTTCACGTTCTGATTCAAAATGGCCAAATTGCGGCCATTTTTGTGCTAAAAAAATCATCAAATATCAAGCATTTATGGATGGATTTTGTTCAAACATGGTACATACATTTAGACATAATTTATGGGTTCTTGATGCACGTCATTTTATTTTTCAGATCGGTTTAAAATGGCCGACTGGTGGCCATGTTGTATTAATGAATGCAGTTCTAGTGCCATATCTCTGCCATGCTTTGACAGATTATGTTAAAATTGTATATATTCATTATACATCATGACATAAATGCCCGAATGGTGGCCATTTTTGTGCTAAAAAATCATCAAATATCAAGCATTGATGGATTGATTTTGTTCAAACTTGTACATACATTAGACATTATCGGGTCCTGATCCACGTCATTTTATTTTTCAGATCAGATTCAAAATGGCTCTGACATGCTTTGATTGATCATGTTCAATCAGATTCAAAATGTCTCTGACATGCTTTGATTGATCATGTTCAAATTTTGTATATTCATTATACCATAGACCTTTTCTAAGGTCTATGTTTATACATTATGTTATAGATATATAATGGATTCTGCTGTAAATTCGCCCATCCGAAAAATCGCCCTGGGCGATTTCACGGCTGGTGGGCTTTATACGGTATTTGGGGTTCAAAATTTCAAAAATGATCATCAAATATTTTTTGTGGACTTAAGACTATGTCGACTTTCAACGAAATACAACTGCATTGCTTAGCAGCAAATGATCGCGGTAGCACAATTCGGTCATGCTGCGTTTCACAATTGTTGATTATTACTCAGTAGTGATTATAATAATGTGAAAAAACTAAATTTGTTGCATTGCTATGAAATGCAAATAAATTTCAACTCATTTCATCGTAAGAGAATGACTCCAGTCGCATTTTAAACGCTCAATGCTGTAGAAATGAATATCCACCATTATTTGACCTGGGACGGTGTTCTTTGACCTGACAGGTCAAATCGCTAATTAACCAATCAAAATGATAGATGATGCCAACGTGTTACCATAGCTCATTTAACTATGTTGATGTTATTGAACACAACACAGAAGAGATTTGCCAATGTTGTAGTACGATCTTTTGGTTTGGATTTTGATGTGAAAGTGGTATGATTTGTTTTTAAATAAAAAAATTATTTGTTTTCAAAAGATAAACTGAGCATTTGAAGAATAATTTAACATTGTTTACAGTGATGACAGCTCATTGTCGAAACAAAGCTTACCCATTCACAATAAACATTGATCTACTCTTGAATATTCGGCTAATCCAATGTGTGTACAGGGACTGCCAGGCATTCGTCATTGTAGATGGTCAGCAAGTAAACTGGTTCAAGATTGAGACAGGAGTAAGACAGGGATGTGTGTGGTCACCCCTGCTCTTTGGTGATCTCATTGACTTTGTCCTCTGAAAGCCATGTGACAACAACCAGGCAGGCATCTGCATGAGACGACGCACACAAACACTCGGAGGAATCCAACCTGGATGGTATCTCTCTGGCTTGGATTTTGCAGATGATGTTGCCTTGCTCGAATCCAAGTCCGCAAGTGGCAACAGATCACTCCATAACCTGGGGAAATCTGGCGGAGACGTTGGCCAGACCAAAGCTATGGGGATTGGAGATGTGGATCCAGTGATCACGCTGGAGGATACTCCTGTCGAGGCTGTGGACAGTTTTAAGTACCTGGGTTCTTATGCTACAATGACCAATAAACTGGACACAGAGATCCAGGTGAGGAAGGGTAGAGCATCAGCAGCCTTTGCACAGCTGAGTAAAGTGTGGAAAAGTAAAACCAGCCTGAAGGCTAAACTTCGCATATACAATGCTGTGATAATCACCACACTACTGTACGGAGCAGAGACTTGGACTACTACCCTCACGTAAGAACACAAGCTGGATGCCTTTGACAATCAGTGCCTCAGAAGGATCCTGGGAGTATGATGGTTCCATCGAGTATGGAATTCAGCCATCAGGGAGAGAACTCAACAGCCACCAGTCCCCTTATGGTTGTGGCAAAAGCGACTCTGATGGTTTGGACATGTATGTCGTATGGGGCCAGAGAGAGTACCTAGGGCCCTGATGGATTGGAATCCAGGAGAGAGGCAGAAGAGAGGAAGGTACTGACACCTAGTGGCGATGTAATCCCCCAGGTTGCGGAAATCAAAATCAATCTACTCTTGAATAGGCGTCAATGAATACGGTGAAACTTTTTGGCATTGGGAAAGATAAAAATAACACCTTAAAAAACTGCCGAAAAATCGCCATTGGTCCCATTTTATTTTATTTTTAACCCAAACTGCCGTTTAACGGCCCTGGGTGAATTTAGGGCAGAATCCGGTAGATGTATTCAAAATGGCTGATTTTGTTTTCAAATAATGCTGTTTCAGAGCAATATCTCTAAATATGGAAAAGTACTCGTTTGACGATCAGATGCAAGATGTCAATCATTTTAATGTTGTCATAATCATATTCCTGGCATGTTTGTATTCCACCTATATTACTATGAACAAAACTATATATCTTAAATTCAATAACTAACGGGGACTGTGCCATGCATGGCTTGTTTTGTCCTACCCTTGCCTGTTGCTAGGTAGGTTACGTATGCGCAAATAGAATTACATCTCGTTCGGGAATTAGGAATTGTTCAATGTTGCTGAGATTTTGAATGTTGGAATTAGTACACACCCACTTTGAAGAATATAAATACATCTTTTTATCGAATAGTTGATAATTCAGTACTACATTTATAATAATGAACAATATTTCATTTTGTTTACAGTATGTTGCATGACTTGCTTTACAAATATGATAAATCTTGCAGTGAAGTGAAAACAAGCTAGATATTTCTATATATAGGAATTGATGTTTAGTCAAGTAGTAATCTATCATACTACAATTTCTGTGTATTGTCATCTCACTGTATGCGTCAACAGTTGTCTTTCATCAATTTTATTGTAAAGGCACATGACTGCAGATACTGAGAACATTGTGTTTTTTTAACCTAGTGAGAAAAGGGGTAGTTATAGAGCTCACCTGGTTTCTGGTTTACCCATGGTTTTGTTTAAACAGATTGTACTTCCATAAATATATAAACAGTGTTTGAATAAACAAATATAAGATAAATACATAAATAAATAAATTCTATTTCATTTGATCGATTTTTGCACTTTAGTTATTCACTCAGAACACATCCAAGTATAGGCACACTATAAATATTCATAAGTATCATTATTAGTCCCTGTACCCTCATATCCTGTTTAATTTCTGACCATATATAACGATTTTGAAAGAGTCATTTAATACATCTAATTTCTGATGATACTAAATCAGCCAATTATTCACTCTAAATTATTAACTATGCTTTTGGTGCATATTATTTATTTTTGGCATGAATAACATTTCCCCCAATTCCAACAGGCATTATGTCGTTAACAATGACTTGTTATTTTATTCAGAGGTTAATAATTTATCAATAAAATGCTAAGAGATTAGTAGTAGTAGAAACCCATGGCAACAAAAGGGCTCCCAGAGGAAGTCGTGTATGCATCGAACGTAATCCGTGTCACATGTTTGTAATGGTTGGTTGCCATGTTGGTGAAACTCTTGGTAAAACATATAACATTTATTTTAGAAACACACACTGTTGTATTTTATGTTTGAAAAAAAACACCTAAACAATAATATATTTAATGATTTGATCATTAATTTTCTTTTCCTTATGTTTTCCTTGCACTGCCTGAACACTTGACAGAAAATTTAAAAACTGAAGTTGATAAAAAAAAATATAATAATCAGGATTAGGTTTCCAATTTTTATCACAATAGGTAATCAATATGCATTTATTTAAAGTAATAACCAGTTGAGGTCTGCACATTTTGCCAGAGAGCTACTTATCAAGTCTATTGAATGTTTTGATCATTTTGCAAATTAGGTAGATAATTAAATCAGGTTGAAATGTGAGCATTTATAAATAATAATTCTCGGTACAACAGGTTGAATATATTATTGAAAATATTTTTTTTCAGAAAATTATTTAAAATATAAACTATTAAAATTAATTAATTAACAAGTCTTGTGGATAACTCTCCACTGGCATTATTAAATGTGTGTATTCTGTTTCTCACTTTCATATACCATTTGGTCTAGTTGAATTTATTTTTTATGTAGTAACTTGTATCTAGTCTTGGACAGTACATGTGCTTATTTCAGTTAATATCTGAATTGTGTTGAATTGAAAACTGTTGACTATTGCACTGAGGGGGGCTCTCTAATGTAGGAGTCTGCAACATCAAAACAGAACTAAAAACATCCACTCTGTTCATTTTTGTAAATTTTCTATTCACTGTCACATCTAATCTACTGATACATTTTGCTGAAATAAGAACCACTGAATATTAATTAAATAGTAATGTATTTGTGTTTGAAAAATGTGCTATATCTCATAACACAGACAGTATAGATTTAGCATCTACTGTGGAATACTTTATTTTCGCTGGAATTAATTTTTGCTGAAAAGGCTTTTTAGGCGTTTTGTATAGAATTTATTTTCACTGATTTTTGATGAGTTTAATGTGAAATATAGGAAAAAAAGTATATTTGCTGGATTTTATTTTCACGGAATCATATCTTCAGCGAAAATAATGAACATAAATTCCAAGCGAAAATAAAGTATTCTACAGTAAATCAAGATGCCTGTGAAACAATCTACATGATTTTATAGTTGAATATTGGAATAGCCAGAGTACTATGTGTGTGTTTTAAATATTAGTGTTTTTAAATCAAAATCAGGGTATGCATTCAAAAGTTAAATAGTTTTAAGTGCGCTTAAAATGCATGATTTTAACCAAAATCCACACCACTTAATTATTAATAGGGTATCAAAGTACATTCTTTAAATAAAACTCTTTCAAATGATATATAACTTGATGGGTAAAAGTTATATTTTACTCGTGTAATTACAGTAATTAGAGCCAATTAAAAATAATGTCTCCAAACCTGCATCTCTACCTTAAGTGGTTTTCTATGTGAAATGAAAAGTTGTGGTAGCTTAATTAATGTTATATTACAGTCAATATTCTCACTCAAATTGCACTCCTTTCAGATCACCACATCCTTAAACATTGTAAACAAATGTTTGTGATCATATACTAAATTATGAATGTACAATGTGCAGAGTAAACAATTTACATAATTTTGTTTCACCTCCAAGTTCCAGCACATGAAAGCCCTATAGACTTGTATGATAAACTTGACATACAGAAGTGAGGCATGGAACCAGTCAGAGTTCTATGCTTGTGGTTTTGTTTTTATAAGTTGTATGAGAATCTATTTGCTCCAAACAAGGAATTACAATGACAGCTCAGTTTATTTATGCTGTAAAATATTGATGTGTTCGCTGTCCAGGTGGTTTAGTGTAGTCGTGATGTGTTCAGTGTCCAGATGGTGTGGTTTAGTGTAGTCGTGATGTGTTCAGTGTCCAGATGGTGTGGTTTAGTGTAGTCGTGATGTGTTCAGTGTCCAGATGGTGTGGTTTAGTGTAGTCGTGATGTGTTCGCTGTCCAGATGGTGTGATGTAGTCGTGATGCGTTTTCTGTCATGGTGGTGTAGTGTGGGCGTGGAATGTATTGACTTGCAGTCTTTGTTGAAAATGATAACAATCAAATGATACTCAAATAGCGATTGTCAGGATTCTGAGGTATTACTGATGGAACACTGCACGAAGCAGATCAAATGAGGACATATTTCTGTTAATTTGCTATTGCTTTTTGGTGATTTATTATTAATCTGAAGGAAGTTTACCGCCTGTTTTTAAATAAAGCTTTTGTTGTGTAGTAAAGCTTGATAAGTTAAATATTTCAACAAATAGGATCTTATCAACCTAACACTTGGCATGCTGAATGCCTCCATAGACACATTTAGCTGATATTGTTGGTGTATATCGTAAAGTAGGCAATGTGTTAATGTATTATAAAACAATGTAATTAGCACCCTAATCCCATATCTAATTCAAAGTTATCCTACGTTTAAAGAAGGAGGTGAGAAAGATCTCTGAGGCTATGAAATACCATTTATTTTTGGCAAACATAGACAAGTTTAAGAACATACCAAACCAGCGCATGACAATGGTTTTATTTAATTATTCAATCACAGAAAAAAATATTGAAATTAAAATGAAAGATTGTATTACAGCCACAGAGTAATGTTTATAGCACAATATGACAAAACTTATAAAAATCTAATAACCAACATGCTTTTGTGAACACAAATGTACCTGAAAACAATACAATTCAGCACCATTGTGGATGATGCGATGACGAGTGTATGGGGTGTTTAATTGAAGCACTACAGCTGTGTAGTTTTCAGTATTGGTCGCATGTGATGTATACAATGCAGGTATAATACAATTGTTTCTCGGAAATTAGAGCATGATGTTTGTGTGCTTTACCTCAGAATCCAATATTCTGCATGCACAGATGGAGTGGATCATTGTGATCTATCAATAGAGTGAAATGTTGATCCAAAATATTAGTGTATATTTTAGAGTGCCATAAATTATGTAAATCCAGGTTGCTTGCACATTTTGGCTTTTGATTTTGTTGCCGCCATCATCATCCACATTAACTTCTTATTTTTTTGAGATCTTTTTGAAAACTACAAGCCTGATTGCTTTGATACTTGGTATATATGAACCTTGGGTAGACCTCTCTTAGGTTTGTTCATTTCATAATGATATCTTCAATTTTCTAACTTTGATGAATATTTTTGTTAAAAAGTGATATAAGTCCAATTGCTTTGATATTATACATATAGGTACTACAGGGAGAACCTCTCTCAGATTTGTTCTAATTTTTAGTCCTGTTCGGACGCAGTCCGAAAACGGGGACTTATGTTTGACCTCCGTGTGTTTGTGTATGCGTGCGTGTGTGTGTGCGTGCGTCTGTGCGTGCGTCTGAACCTGTATCTTAGAAATGCCTAGACCAATCACAATTAAACTTCACACATACTTCATACATGATATTATACATATGCACGTCAATTTGTTTCACG